ACATTCTTTTGTCTTTTACCTTTTTCGTTTTTCCCTCCCCTCACTATCCAGGGCCAGTTTTGATTCTCTTTCCCACTCAACACCTCCTACTTCATAGGCAGTACCAGTCCCCACAAGCCCTCTGGCAGACTGAAGGCCAGGACTGCTTTCTGCCTGGGTGACTTCCTGTCTTGAGGGCTCTGTGCCCAAATTTACACCGGCAGAAATCAGTGTAACTCAGTTTTAATATAGCTCAAAGCAGAGCTAATTCTGTTCTGGAACATTCTGGAATGGCATACCACACGCTAGTTTTGGCCATATGTACTAGTGTTTCACACTCCTTCCCCCCCCACCCCCCAAAAAAAAAGCCTTTGGCTCATAGTATTATATATTTTTACCTCATCTTTAATGTATTCTAGAATTACACCGGCTAAGCAAAGCCACTTTTTATTTTTTTAATTTTCCTTTCTCATTTCATTCTAAAATCACTGTCTAACATAAGTGAGCAAGGAAATAAAAATTTCTTTTTAAATAGGAATAAGAAATAGATGATTTATCAGAGGCATTTCAAACTATTAATGGTGTAAAGACAGTTTGACAAATAAGGGATGATTATTCTCATCTCCACAGACCAAAGTACAGCTGTGGAATCCTTCCAAGCAGTGCTCAAGATGTTTGATTTCTATTTTAGTTGATATTTGACAGAAAGGATTTTATTTTTACATTTTCTAGGGGAAGTGGAGATGAGAATTTGTTATGTCCCTTTCCTTCTTGCTCTCTTTGCTTATTCTCCTGCCTTTTTATCTGCAGTGAGTGATTGCACTGTTTTATTACACATGGTCCTGAGAGCTTTCAGGAGTTACATATCTTCTGTAGTCAGTATTTTTCCTTATTATTTTAAGGTGTGTTCTACCCAACAGTTGCCAACTGAACACTTGATGTCTAGTGTCTGGAATGTATAAATAAGAAGACAGCTGAAAAGCACCGTAGCGTGGAAAAGATACAGACTGGAAGTGAAACACATACCTGCTTTGGGCTTCTTAGATGACTTTCTCTACAGCTCAACTTCCAAGTTCCCAAGTGATCTTCTAGTTCATGAAAAGTAAGGTAGGAACACCAGGAGTTAAGAAATCACAATAGTATGTTGGAAGAAAAGGCTTGGCACCAGAGGAAACCTAGGTCTGAATTGTACTTCATTATTAACGAGAGTAGCATCGCTCATTCCTCCCCTGGCCACATACTCCCTTGTGTCTAGTGACCTAGCAATGGCCAGCCCTGAACTCAGCGACTTCAACGTGCTCATCTGACAGAAAACAAATCCACCAGAAAAATGATGGTTTTCCATTCAACACAATTGCTCACTCGATTCATTCTGCAGTCTCACAGTCATTGGACCTCATAAAAGCGGGGGGAGCATGGCTGAAGAGAGATGAGCAAGACTGCACTTTTCAGCACTAGCCCAGAGTCATACTAAATTAGTTGTAACTAAAACTGCACCTTGAAGGCATGGTTCCCTATGAGGAGGTTCAAGTTCACTCGCTAACCCAGAAGGAAATGAATACCCTCTCCCAAATTAAATATTCCTCAGTCTTGCTACTGAGTAGATGCGGCTCATGGAAGCATATGGCAAACACCAAGGGCCTAAGAGAGAGTGAAAATCTGTGGTTGGGAGACGAGGAGTCAGCAACATCTCAGCTTCTCGACATTGGTGAACTATTAGATCAGCTCAGCTGCTCATGGATCTGTCTAGAGGAGATCATTACTTCAAGGCCCATTCTGGAAGAGACAAGACTCAACTGAACAGGATAAAGTAAGCTATTTTTGCTTGTGCTAGCAGGTTCTTAACAGTACATTTAGTATACCACTGAAATGATAACATGAAATGAAAGAGCTCTGAAATGCCTAATAATCTCACTGTGGATGGAAAGACACATTTATGACCACATAATCTAAAATGTTCTCAGACTACTGAAAAAAATTAGGAACAATGCTTAGTTATTCAGGAGGGGTATGATCTTTAAAGAAGCAGATCTGGCTCAAAACCAACACAATTATGAAAAAAGTTTACTCAGGGGAAAGAAGGCCAAAAGCACTGAAGAACTGAGGAAAGAGAGGAACCAACACTGGAGAAACAGAGGCTCTGTTGTTTTGTATGGGCAAGTGTTTCAGAAGTCTATTCAGCAAATTATCTACTCGGTCTTAAAGCAATCAGCCCACTGGGCAAGTTTGGGGCATGAGCCCATTTCACTCAGCCTTTCCCTTTGTCCTGAAGGAGATGACCCCTCTGACATAGTATGAATGACTTTCTGTGTCTTGGCACAGGCAGGCATTCCCTGATGCCTCTGGTCTCACCCTGTCCTCCCACACAGGGGCACAAGCACAATTAAGTCTCTGCCTATATCCCTGCACTTCCCAGCCATAGCTACGTCCCCAGGACAAGGAGAAGTGAAGGACTGGGCATGAGAAAGCAGATAGATGAACATATTGCCTGGAAAAGGGACAGAAAATTGAAAAGTTGGGAGAGAAGGGTGGCTGCTCCAGTGAAAGACTAGTGGTATTGGCCTGATTGGGTGGGAGTAGTACTGCTGTCAAGAGGAAGGGAGGGAACAAACTCCTGGGCACAAGGAGAAGGAAAGATAAGCCTATAGGAACCTCCTATAACCAATATCCACACCTGTCAACTTTGGGTGTGCTATTAATGCTGCAAGTTTTTAGCTCTAGTGAAACTAGCATTATTGTCCTGAAATATATCAGAAGTACTTCAAGTCTAAATAATTCAGATGTCAAAATGAGTATGAGGAAGAAAATGATTTAGCAGAAGGATTGCTTTGTTTTCGAAGTTGCTATTTCTTTCTGTTTATGCACCCATACAGACACTAACAAATCAGTGAACTGGATGCACAACCAGACAGCATCACTGATTACATCTTTCCCTGAACAAAAGTGAGGAAATATAGGAGAGAAAAAAACAAGGAAGTAAAAGTTATTTAAAAGGCAGAACTATTTGATGAGATTTTATCTGCTATGCAGTTTAAAGAGAATTCCCAAACTATTTACAATCAGAATGTTGGGGATTGTTGTGTATTGTAAATGAATTTTAAATAACTCTTGTTGGCAAAGTTTTCTTTTGTCAGAGTTGCCAAATCTTATTGCTTTATCACAAATCTCATAATGTTGAGTTGCTTATTTAAACCACAATTCAAAGAAACACTGACTAATGAGTTTCTTGCACTTTTTTTTTTTTTTAATAAGTGTAAATTTCTCAGGAACATACTTATTGCGAAAGGTGAAAGAGTAAATACCAGAACAGTCAGGGATGTTATTGTTCATCTAGTGCTTTCTCTAATCAGGAGAGGAGAGAACTGCTGTTTACTGGCAAGATTTGCAGCTGCCTGCTGACAGAGAAAGACACGGGGTCTGGGGCTCCCAGTTCTTCTGTGGCAGTGCTTGTACCAGTTAATAACCTTGGCCCCAAATTAGCTTTCTCTCCATACTCCCTCATCTGCCATCCACCCCGGCCTCTCAGTGTCTTTTCACATTCCTGAAACTTTCACGAACATATAAAATTCTGCTGGACTCAATATGGCCCCACCCAGAACGAGAGGCCTATTTACGGCACCACTAAAACTCCCCACAATAAACCAATATTTTTTAACTATAGCTCAACTGCTGGCAGGGTTGGGGGCAGGATTTGCACTTGTTACTTGCCTCACCATCGTGTGTGGAGGTCTGTGATGGATGCCAAGCTGCCTTTAGCCTCCTCGGCCACACAGGTCTACATGGGCAGTGTCAGATGGGTCCCTGCTGGCTTCAGTCACTCATGGGACAGCCAGCCCAGGTAAAGCCCTTGGCTTGGTCTCATTTAAAGCTTGGGGTTTTGTTACACTTTCAGTATCAAGCACTGAACCTTCTTTGGCCATCAGTAAAGCACCATGTATAAATATCTAAAGTGGGGGTGCCGAGAGGGCAGACACATCCCTTCTCAGTGGTGCCACACAATAGGACAAGAGGCAATAGGCAGAAACTGATGCACAGGAATTTCCACCTGAACATGAGGAAGAACTACTTTACTGTGTGGGTGACCGCATGCTGGAACAGATTGCCCAGAGAAGTTGCAGAGTCTCCAGAGTCACTGGAGATATTCATGAATCTGTGTGCTCTAGGACGACCGTGTTTCAGCAGGGACGTTGGACCAGATGACCTGTGATCCCTTCCATCCTGGCCCATTCTGTGATTTCATCCTCCATCTGATCGAAAGCTCCTAAGGGATGTTTTGACACCAAGACACTCAAAAACTGAGTTAAAAAATCCAGGATGTAATTCAGTTACATGCCCTTTCCTTGCAGCCTATCTTCTGTGTCTTTAGCATACGTCTGAACCTCGTTTGGAGGCTCTTAGTGGAAACGCGGAGACTGGAAATGCACTCCAGCTGGGATGGTTGTAGCCACTAGGGGTTAGTCTCTTCTCCCAGGCAGCTGGCAATGGAATGAGAGAACAACGTCCTAAGCTGCACGGGAGGTTTAGATTGTACATTAGGAAGAATTTCTTCACAGAAAGGGCGATTAGACATTGGAATGGTCTGCCCAGGGAGGCGGTGGAGTCACCGTCCCTGCAGGCGTTTAAGGGAAGACTGGACACGGCACTCAGTGCCACGGTCTCGTTGACATGACAGCGTTCGGCCGTAGCTCGGGCTCGATCTCAGATGTCTTTTCCAGCCTCACTGATCCTGTGATCCGGCTGCAGGAGAGGGGGCGCTCACAGACGCTCCTCGGGCCTCACCAAAGCAGATGTGACCTCCTCCTCCCTCCTGACACCCACGGCTCTCGGCAATCCCCGCTCACCCCCGCGGGCCCTTCCCACCCGTCCCGTCCCGTTCCATGCCGCCCCGCCGCGCCTCACGGGCGCCGCCGGCAGAAGGGTGGAGCCGTCTCCTCCTGGGCCTCCCTGCGCATGCGCGGCCGCCGTGCGGCTGCAGTTGGTCCGTCGGCCGGCGGGGGCGCTGCCGCGAGCCGGGAGGGGGCGGATCCCGCTCGGCTCCGCGCCCGGAGCGCCATGGCGGCGGCGGCGGCCGGCGGGGAGCGGAGCAGCACCCGAGACCGGCTCCTGGCGGCACTGGAGGACCTCGAGCTCTTGGCCAGGTACCGCGCCCGGCCCCCCGTCGGCCCCAGGTGGCGGCGGGGCACTAGGGGTGGGGCGAGGGCACCCGGCGCGATGCGTGCGCGGAGCCTCCGGCGGGGGCGGCGGGAGGAGCGGGAGCCCCTTGGCTTGGAGATCGGCGCGACCCGACCGCTGGCCGAGCTCGAGTGCACGTTTCCCTGCTCTCCCGCCGTCCCCAGGCCGGCTCCCCCGGGAGAGGGGCTGGTCCTGCGCGGGGGCTCGGCCGGGCCCGGCCCTGCCCTGCGCTGTTCCCCGGCGCTCACCCCAGTGGGAAACCGCCGGCGACGCTTCGTTTCCTATTTTCAGAGAGAAAAGGTTATTCTTATTATTCTTATTATTCTTATTATCCTTATTCTCCCACTTGCCATTCTCTCTTGTTTGACACCTGCATTTCCAGTGAAATGCACCGTCACACACCGATTTTAGCCATTAGTCACTAAAAATTATGCTGAAGTCAGAAATGTGTAGATGGTGTTGCATGACATAAGCTGTCCTGCTCATTGGCTATATTAGTGTTAAGTGACTCCAGGTAGGCTGCAGGGTTCGCCTTTGGAGTGATATAAGTGCTCGGATTAGATACTTAGTCCGTGCTCTTGAGGCCAGACTGGTAGCCCTCATCCAAGCTGTCCACCTCTGTTGCTGGAAGTTCAACTGGTTCCTAATTATCCTATGATTGCTACTAGTAGGACAAGGTATTGGTCTGTTGCCCTTTTTGTGTCTAGTTAGGTTTTATCCTCAATCTTAGATTTTATTGTGACACAAGGGTTGCTGGAGAACATGTAGTTTTGGAAAAAAACAAACAAACACTTGTTCTTTATCTAAACTTTTTTTTTTAAAATGTTTGAACTAATATTCTACCATAATGAATCCAGAGCAACCCTGAGCAGTATATGTGAATCTTCCTGTTGATCAGCAGAGTGTTGCAGCACCCTGGAGCTAGGCCTTTCACAGTCACAGTATCTGTTTGGTGGTGGGGGCGAAAATAAAGCAACATCTACTCTGTAGCCTTCGCATAGTTTTGAATCTGTGCCTGTGCATTGTCTGGCTAACACAGGGCAGAATTACAGTGCTCTGTGATATCGGCTTTGATGGCAGTAGTTGACCTACCTGCGGCAGATTCAATTTGGTACTGCCCAGTGTTGGCCAGGTCCCTCAGAGGTTCTTACTGGCTTTTCAGAACAGTGGCAAAGTAGCTGGGTACATGGAAGCGTGATCGAGAGGTTTGTTGGAGAGGCACTTCTAACCTAGCACCAGAATAATACTAGTTTTTTGGTATTTTTGTGTGTTTGATACACAACTAATATAGCATTGTGGAAATACTTGTTGTAAAAGTAGTTTCACAACAGACTGCAGTATGGTCTTAATTGCTCTAAACACACATGAAACTTGCTCAGTTGGCAAAAAAATGGAGAAAAAGTAGAGAAGTAAAACGGTGAAGACAACTTTCATAATACTGTTTCGTTTCTCAGCTTCTGCTTATGTCTTTTATGGTTTGACAGGAACTTTGCACAACATTTCTTGAGTACAAATATACAAGTACTTCATGAACTCCAAAGAAAATGTGCTCTCTTGGTTGAGACATGCCTGCCTACACTGTACTATAAAACTCTGAAATACTCAAGTCAAGAAATACTTTTGTAATGATACCAGTACTCTGATAATTTTATGAGGACATGATGTGATAATGCCCTAGAAAATTGCACTTAACAGAGTTTTCCTTTCAGGGAACTAATAGAAATTTTGGCAATTTCGAGAAACCAAAAGCTTCCACAACCAGGAGAGGAGAGCCAGGTAAGCTGACTTTCTAAACTGTATTTCTTTGGGTAACCATAATGCTTTACTTCTAATTTTTTTCTGTTCTTTCATTCGTTCTTTTGTTCGTTCTTTCTTTTTCCCTTTGTTCTTGCCTATACTCAATCTAATGTTGATGATGAGGTTTTGGCCCTGCTACAAAGGCATTCTTGGTTTTTCGTGTTGTTGTTCGTTTGTTGTATGCTTCATAGGCTGTTTCTGCAAACAGGAAGAAATTTTGTTTCATTTTTCATTCAAACAAAAATACTCCTGTGGATGACATTTGCTCCTCTTTGTAGCGTGAGGGTGTGTTGTTACTCTAGCCAAATTAAAAGTTCTACAAAACTCTTGTTCAATAGATCCTGGAACTGCTGATTCAGAGAGATGGAGAGTTTCAAGAGCTAATGAAGTTGGCAGTTGATCAGGGAAAAATCCATCATGAAATGCAGCTTTTAGAAAAGGTAGTAGAAAAGCGGGATAATGATATTCAGCAGCTGCAGAAACAACTAAAAGAAGCAGAGCACATACTGGTAAGTTCATAATGATGTGTTTTCTTTTGAGCATTTACTTGGGGAAAAGGTGGTTCTGGGGAAAATGGTGTTATGTTAGTTTGAGAAGATTTAAATATTTTAAAACTTCATAAGAGCTTAGTGGTTTAGGCTTTTTCTCAGTAGTCAAACGCTGTTTAGTTATCATGGTATTCAGTTTTGTTTTATAATGCTAATTTTCTTCTAAACCTACTTTATTTCTGTATATTTAGAAAAGGTTCACTGAATAATTTCTCTCTTCAAATGCAATTAAACTAAGGGTTTTATTCACAGAGCTGACTTTATGCAGATGTTTACAAATTAAAGAGGCATTGAAGGTTTGTTTACTTTATGGTTTGGGGTTTTTTTTTTTTGCAACTAGGCAACAGCTGTTTATCAAGCAAAGGAAAAACTGAAATCAATTGAAAAGGCGCGGAAAGGTGAGTATTCATGATTGTCCATACTACATAAATGCAGTTGTAAGAAAGATGCTAGTGAGCTCAAACTGGGGCTTTTTTATTTTTTTTTTTTTTTAATTCTACTACCACAGTTTTTGGATGCTTTATGTGTAAACAAATTTCCATTTCATTATGAAACTATAACCATTTCCTCAGAATAAAAAAGCAGGCAATAAAAATTTTTTGGGAGACATATCTTAATAATAAAGTGTCTCAACAGTCTTTTTGGACTGATAATAGTATATCTGATTATCTAAGTATCTCACCAAATTGCCTCAGTTGGTCTGTTGAGGAAAGAGAGAGAATGTTTGTTTGTATGTGTATTGTATTTGAAAGACTGCCTAGCTGCTGATACTAGTTTGTAGCAATTCCTCCCATACTGTGGTACTTGCCAAGCTAAACTGACCTTTTTTCTGGGGGGAAGAGGCATTTTCTCTGGGTTTTGGTTTGTTTTTTGTTTTTTACAGTGTCTTTTACCTTTTTGTTATACCTCTTTCATCTAAAAAAATCAAGGAATTTCGAAAAGTTTCTGTTACTCTAATAGAGGCACATATTTAGAAGGACTCTTACAGGTATGCTCTACAATTACTAAATAAACAAAAAAATTCTTTACTACAGAAAACTCCATAATAAATCAGGTGCTGAAGTTTTACAAATTGTACTTGTCAAGTACATGGTTTAAGAGATTGGTTTGTGTTTTTCACAAGGTTAGAGAACTGTTGACATCAAAGGTGTACTGAACTTGTGGCTGTAAAATCACTGCAAAGCTCATTTGTGCATAGTCTGAGAATCTTCTGAACAGTCATTGCATTTAAACCAGGCTGTTAATGTTTGGCAAAATCACGTTCCCAGTCTTTTAGATATTAGTGTCCAATATTCGGAAATAGTTAAATGATGCAATGTCTTAAGAATAAGAGAAACTTTTTTTCCATTCTTCCAGGTGCCATTTCTTCTGAAGAAATAATTAAATATGCCCATAGGATCAGTGCTAGCAATGCAGTTTGTGCCCCTCTGACATGGGTACCAGGTAACTATTGTGTTTATGACAACAGATTTCTTTTTTTGTAATAAATCATGGTTAATATCTGGTCTTATAATGTTTTTATACCATGAAAACCACTGGGGTTTATTAAAGTAACATTATTTTCAGCAGTTATACCTAATATTTTCAACAAAAATGGATATCCAGTTCATAGGTATTCAAAAAACTATATGTTTCCATTAACTGACTGGTGTCCTCCGCTCTCCTTTGTTTGCCTTTTTCCCTGGAATGTTGGCTTGGATTTAAGTTAAAACCAAGTATGCTAAAGGCTTTTATGCGTGCCTGGTTGTGTTCCCTTTTGCCCCTTACAATATTCTTTTCAGAGGATTTAAGTAATCCATGGAGTCAGAAGCAGGACTTTAATTCAGGACTATTTCAATTTTGGGTACTACCTACTTGTTGTCTGAAATGAAAATGTGTTTGATCCAGTTCCTGTCCTTGCCATTTAGATATGAAGTAACAGGGAGAGCAAAGATATCTTCTAAACGTGATGAGATTTTTTTGGTTGTAGTTGTTTTAGGTTGTTTGTTTGTTTGTTTTTTAATGTGCATTTTCTGCCAAGTTTGAATGAACAAATAAAGTCTGAGTGAAAGCCAGGATTGAATTTTAATAAAACAGGTTCAATGCTTTTTGCTTATCTAAGCAGGTTATGGAGTTTTTTGGTCATTAAACTCAGCACTGAAGAGAAAACTAATGTCTGCAAAACAATTGTTAAATGTTTCAAAGCTTTTTTTTTTTTTTTTCCTTAAAGGGGACCCACGTAGGCCATATCCTACAGATCTGGAAATGAGGAGTGGTCTCTTGGGTCAGATGAACAACCCATCCACCAATGGAGTTAATGGACACTTACCAGGGGACGCACTTGCAGCGGGCAGACTGCCAGGTAAGAGAAACTCAGTTTTGTTTTGCTTTTCTTTATTCCTTGTACAGGCACAGCAATTACACGTTTCCCTTAGCAATGGCAAATCAGAGGCAAAGTAATGAAAATAATAATGTTGTTACCTAGCAGTGAAGACCTAGTAAATAATGTTAACAATTAGAAATTGCATAATTTTATTTTATTTCATGTTAAACTGCAGACACGACAAATATGTTAGTATAACCAAAACTCAGTTAATTTATTTTAAATGGCTTTAAACTAAGATAAATCATATTAGAAGCATTTTCAGAGCAACATTTCCTTAGTAGTGATGACAAAGTATGGAATTGTGAAAGCTGGTTTTGGAAGAGGTTTATTTTCATCCTCTGCCTTTATTTAAGTTTATGCTTAGAAGTTCTGGATGGAAAAGACATGACAAGGGACAACTGACTGTAGGAATTGAGCTTTAATCCCTTAATTGCTTAGTGAAATAGGCACTTCCATTGACTTCAGTGGGATTCATTTGTTTAAAAAAAAATATTACTACACCATTGCAGAAATAGTAAACTTGGCTTTTGTGGTTTCTGATCATCTCTCTAATCCTATTGTCACATCTTAGGAAGTGACTTGAAATTTTGTATCCTCTTGATCTGTAAACCTCTGATCTTGGATAAAATGGGTTGGTGAGCTGAATAGTAGTACCCTGACATCTGTCCATAGCAACCCACCAGGGAAATGCTGAAGATGGGTCCACGTGTCTTTTCTGTTCTTTTTAGGTCTGTATGAATATTTACTGTTTTGAAGTGGAGTGATGAGAGATCAAGAGCCATCTACATGAATGGGCCTCTCTGGCAGAGTAGACTTTTACAGTCAGAGAATTATTCCATCATGAAATGTTTTCCAGCTGTTACTGGAGCATTTAATCTTTCCAAAATTCAGAAAGGATTTTAAGATTTGTTTTGATTTCAGATTGAAGTTCTGGTTGAGCTGTCTTGTTTTTGATATATAAAACTGATAGTTTGGTTGATTATGCCCCTTTTTTTTCCAGATGTGCTTGCTCCTCAGTATCCTTGGCAGTCAAGTGATATGTCAATGAATATGCTACCTCCTAATCATAGTAATGACTTCATGTTGGAGCCTCCAGGACACAATAAAGAGAATGAAGATGACGTAGAAGTTATGTCAACAGACTCCTCAAGCAGTAGCAGTGACTCAGACTAGGGTACGAGAGGGACAGTATCCCTAGTAGACCTTTCCTGTGGTGAAGGTAGGTTGGATGCTGTTTGTCACAAACTGCAATATCCCTTTGTTACGCTGGCAGCCTTTTGTAGGGACAAGATAACAGCTGGCTCAGAAATAAGGTGACTAATTTAAAACCGTGGACTGTAGACTTTATTTTTTTCCCTTACATATTCAAGAAAAGTGACTGGGAGCTTTCTGCTGGGGAGAGATGTAAAATTTTCAGTGATTGTATGAGTGTGTATGTTTGCAAGAGACACGTGTATATATATATATGTATTTACTATACATTAGATGACAAAAGTTCCTGGGAAAAAAGGTGTAAGGGGAATCCCCTTGTATGTTTGTTAGTAACTTTAATCTTTTGATGATAACCTTTTCTATGCCACAGAAATGAGACATGAAGTTTGTAATTTTAGTATCTGTTTTTGTTACTGCCTAAATCCATGTTCTTGATCATCTGTTTATCAAGAACAAAAATAAGGTGTAAAAAAAGAGTTTGTAATTATTGTATTATATAATGAATGTTTTGTTATAAATAAACTCAGCTTTGATCTAACTTTATTTTCCAAATTTGAATCTGAGGTACCTTGTAACATCAATACTCAGCATATTTTATCCCAGTATATGGTTGGATTTTGACTGAGTTTCAGAAGTTTGTACTCCATTTTTGCCTTTGTAAAATGCCCACTCAGTGTTAGAAGCAGCTGAGGAGGAGTCAGACGCAGAAAGCCTGTCCGTTTTCAGGTGAGCTGTATCAGGTACACATGTAAGTGGGCAGATCCTGAGGCAGCAATGCCCATTCACAAGGCTGCACCAACACTTGGTTAAGCGTCCTGGGACCCTGGAGGCACACTGCAGGTTCAGCTCTTTTCAGTTCAGAGTGCTCACAGATTTTTTTTATTCTTGTCATCTGTAATTTTTTTTTCAGTTCTTTGAACCTGCTAATTTGTTTACTTGGTCAGTTGCATGTCCTGCCTCAGCTACAGTGTTATTTTGTCTTTCCAAAGGCATTTCCTTTGGCTCTCCTTTCCTTGTTCTGTTTTGCTTAAGGAGTCATTCTATGACAGCTGCTTTTCTCTTAGGTAACCTTCCGATCAAATCAGAAAACTAATGGGAACTGTTGCTCCTGGCAGTTACAGGTTTCTGTCCTGCAGCACAGATCACAATTCTCTTCACTTTTCTATTTTTTAGATTCCTTACAGGAAGTATCTGATGACTCACGTACTTCCTCCTTTGCCCAGACAGTCTTTGTAATGCTGCCGCATATGACCAACGTACGTATGAATCCCATAGGGATGCAGAAAGGAAAAGGACTTCAGTCAGGTTCAATCACATAATATGGAGCAGTGGTTTTTGTTTCAAGAGAAATGGGCAATTTGGTTTTGTCTCATCTGTTCCTTTTGGAAGTATCTTTAGAGTCATTAAACTGTCACTTCTTTCACAGTCTAAGACTATCCATATGCATCTATATTTTAACCTTTATTCAGTATCATATTTTCCTCTTAGGTGTTTACCACCAATGTCTTTCCTCTCTAATTCACGTTAATCCCAATACATATGCCCTGTCTCAGTCATCCTAGTTAACCTTGCCTACCCCGTTTATGTTTGGTTTTTTTTCTTAAAACATGATCAGAATCATACACAATATTGCAAAATGGAGTTTCTTAATGCTTGGTATCATTGGACTAGCATTTTCTTTCTAAATGCCTCTCTCAACACATGACACAGACACAGTTCTCTAGTCTCTTTTATCTTCTAACTTACAAGGACATTCTTTTCTTGGAGTGAAATACAAAAATAGATACTTAAGTCATGCAAAGTGTAATGTTGCAACCTACCCAAAACTCTTCTATGGCTGTATCATGTAGTTCACTAACTGAAATACTGTAGAGAGGGTGATTGTTTCCAGACATGAATAAGAGGGAACTAAAGCAAAGACCACTTCTGTTTCTGGGTTGTGTGTTACTCTGTTAAAGGATTAAATGGGGCCAGTGTGTTACATGTAAGAAACAGGTAAGACAACAGCTCTGTCCACTGTTCACTTAGCATAAAAACAGACTCTGGGTATAAGATGCATTCTAATAACTCTCTTTGCATCAGTGCTCCCAACTGTGTACAGTTCATGAGTATGTTTCCTCTGGCTAAGTATAACACCATTTTAGGTCAATTCTGTCTGTTACAAGCAGTTTAGTGAGCCACAAAGTTGTAACTGAGTGTTCTGTTATTCGGTGGTTTAGATATGTACATAATGTATTTTCCTATTTAGCAAAAGTACCAAAAACCAAAGTAAAGATTTCATTGAAAGGACTGGGTCTTAGCAGCTAAAATCTACTAAACCAAATTTTGGGGAGGGAATGGGGGTGGGAAATACCAATGCACGATACATACAAACAGTTATTTAAGTTGGGCATTGCTGACAGCTGGTTGCAGTAATGCACTGTAGTTACTTAATCAGTCCACTTAAAAAGGATACAGGAAGGCTGACATATGGAGATACTGCTTGTGTCCTCATTTCAGTAACTATTTGTGTATTTAAAAGAGATAGAGTAAATATAACCATTAACAAAATAGGGTAAGAAAGTATTTATTGCATGACAAGGCATTTTACAGTAGCCACTGTTTTCTCATTAGGAGCCAGAGGCCTTCTAAAATGTAAAATTGTACTAAATAATTTAAATATTTTTCCCTCATTATTCTTTGTGACAGATGGGTAGGACATCTGTCAACTATTCCTCCAGCTTCTTTGTTGACTGCTGAGTAGAATAATTTTCAGTGTACATAAGGTTGCTTTTGGGAAGCAAATCTCCACTTTTGAATAGAAAAAATAATCTTTTTACAAAGGTACAGCAGCAAAGGAATTTTCGGTGATATGTCCAGTGCCAAAACTGCTGTATAACATTATCTTCTTTCTTCAGAGAAAGGGTGTCTGTCATAAGGAAAGTTGCACATAGGCAATACTTCAAACTCTAAGCAGGAGACTTGCCATTGGCAGTAGTGTCCTCATACCTCGTATCACTCTGCCTGCTTCTCAGTAAAAAAGTCATCTCCATTTAAGAAAATGTATGTGCAAAGTAAGGAAGAGCCTTAAATCTTTCAAGCTTATTTAAGAACTGAGGAGTCAACTCATAATTTCAGACAATTTTAATCTTTCAATATTGTGCTTGTGTTTTATTCAAAAGGAATTAAAGATATCTCACAACATTTTTGTACGAGTATATCTAAAAGAAACAGACAAGAACTGTGTTTTAGAAGAACCCTGACAAGAAAAAAAATTGAGCCAATTAGTGATTTCTTTAAAAGTCATATGTTAAAAGTAATTGCTGATGTCCTAGTGACTACAGCTGTAAAAGAATCAAATTTGGTTACAGATTCTAGAAAATTTAAAAATAAATATTCATTGGTTTTGTATGTATCTTACATGTATCTTCACTACCAATTAAGTCATTTAATCACGTCAAACTGAAAATTCACAATTTTATTGAGTCCCAGTAGCCATACAGAATTACACCATCTGTGCTCTTTAATACTGACAACTCTGTAGCAGAAAAGTATGACTTTTGCCATTGAGCTACACCTATAAATGAGATAATTTTGTTGTTTGTGTCAGCCTAGTAGAACACTGTAGGCACCATTATAATAGTTTAGTAACATGAAGTCAGATCAACTGCAGACATCTGTGACGTTTTTGCAGATAAATTCAATGTAACTGAGGCCACAAACAGAACTCTTGTTATGAAAGCAAGTGACAAGAAGAATCAGGTAATGTCATTCCCTGCAATAAGCCATCATAACCTTTTCATATTTATAGGGCTCTTGATTTTCAAGTATACACTGCTGTCTGCAGGACAATGAGGCATTGCCTGTGAAATGTAACTTTTTTTCATGACAGTAACTTCATAACTGAAGCTAAGAGACAAGGCTAAGTTTTAAAACTGGTCCAATAATTATAGGAAAGCAGCATGACATACAAAGTAGGTTTACATAGAAAGCATGGCATTAGTTTAAACGAGTAAGTTTTCTTGGGCATGATGCTGCAACTGTTTTTAAGTGACTAAGCTTCTCTGGCTAGTTCTAACTGTTCATCTATATAAAGATTAACCAGATAAAACACTTTGAGTTTGCTATAAAAGCAAATATTGTTAACCACTACAGCTAGAAATAACTCTGGAATGAGAGACCACTGTTGTGTGAATCATGGTAAAAGTGCTGAAACATTTGGCATCTTTCTGGCTTTGGGAAGGGTAGTATTTTCACGTGGGCAGGGTGAGCACGATAAACCCTTTTTTTCTTTTACATCAAAAAAGCAGCTCTGTCCTTTACTTTGTTACATATGTACAATTTAGTTTTACTCTAGTTGGTGACTTCCTGTGTACCCCTTCAGATGATCAAGCTCTTCAGTAAAGGGATTGTAGCCTTGCTCTCTTAAACAGCGTAAGGCCCAGAATAGTTGATCTGCTGGAGGAAATTCATCCCATTTAACCCATTCCCAGCCTGTAGGGGGGGAAAAAAAGAAGGGGGAAAAAAAATCAGAGTTTAGAATTCAGATAGGGGAGGTTTAGGCTGAGTATCAGGAAAAGGTTTTTCACCCAGAGTGGTCAGGCACTGTAACAGGCTCCCCAGGGAAGTGGTCATGGCACCAAGCCTGACAAGAGTTCAAGGAGCGTTTGGACAAGGCTCTCAGGTACAGGGTGGGATTGTTGGGGGTTGTCCTGTGCAGGGCCAGGAGTTGGATTTTGATGATCCTTGTGGGTTACTTCCCACTCAGGGTATTCTGTGTTATAAAAATTCTTCCCCTGCAAGTCAGGACGGATCGTGCAGAAACTGCCAACAGAAAGCCAAGTTCTCTGTCGCACACAGAGTCATTCTGCCTGAGCAACTTCTCTGTTGCCCGGAGAAAGTGTGGATGCCCCATCCCTGGAAGTGTTCAAGGCCAGGCTGGATAGAGCTGACCTAGACCTTCCACTAGCCACCCGATCTAGTGGAAGGTGCCCCCGCCCGTGGCAGTGGGGTTGGAACTAGATGACCTTTAAGGTCGCTTCCCACCCAGGCCTCTTGTGTTCCTCGCTCACCCTCGTTCTTGTCGGGCTCGCTGTTGCGCGGCTCCGCGCCAGGCTCGGCCTCGCCCTTCATCAGCACGGTGACGTAGTGGTACCGCGCGGACGCGCACACCGCGTTCACGGCCGACGCGAACCGCACGTGCCGCAGCCGCAGCGCCGCCTCCTCCAGCGTCTCCCGCGCCGCGCACTCCGCCAGGCTCTCCCTGCGGGACGGCACGGGAAGGGAAGGGAAAGCACGGCACGGCACGGCACAGCACGCGAGGGCGGGGAGGGGAGGGCGCAGGGCTTCCTACCCGAACTCCAGGTGGCCTCCGGGGAGCTGGTAGGTGCCGGCCCCCAAGGCGCCTTTCCTCTTGCCCAGCAGGACGCAGTTGGGGTGCGCGGCGCTGGTGACCACCACCCCCACGCCGACCCCGGGCCGCCGGGGCTGCGCCGCCTCCTCGCCCATGGCAGCCCTGGGCACCCGGGGAGGTTCCGTCTCCCCGCGGGCGGGGGCGGCTCC